AGTGCCATCTAGACAGAACCACTGAACAACCAGAAACCAAGATAATGGCAATTGTCGCAGCTACTAAAGAGGTCCAAACTGAGCTAACCATGCTGTAATGCCTTAGGGAAAACTGACAGTTCAGAGAATAGGGCTTAAAATCATTGCTGACACAGTAGCACAATTAGCTAGGACATATCCTCATGTGTCTATCAACTTGGCAGTGATGTCAAAATGCTTCCTGAGTTTTAATTGAGTTTTAGCTCCAGGTTTATTGGACTCCAGCAGCCATACTGGTTTCACACCAAAACTCAAGTTTTATCCCTGAATCAAACATCTCCTTGTGCTTTTTTTACACTGGATCTTGGACCATTTTTTTGCTGAGTTTAACACTCCCTCGCCTCCATTGCTTTGACTTGTTTACCAATTGTATGCAGTAAAATAATCCATGAGGTTGTTGTGGTAAATATACACAGAAAGGTTATATTTACTAAGAAAAATTAGCAAAAACAAAGTATAGAAGACAAAAAAAACAAATAGTTTGACATAAAAGCATTTATTGCAACAAGTTGAGTCGCTGGTGCATACGTGACTATGTGCTGGCATCGACACTAAAAAGCTTGACTGATGTTTACCCTTTTATTTGCTTCTTTTTTGTTTTGTTTTTTGACTTGAATTTGAGAAAAGCCATTTGTTATTTTTATCACTGAGCTTCATAGAGATCAAGAAACGCCTGAGCTCCGTCTCACATGACTTACTGTACTATTCCTTTTGGTCTAAAATCCTTTATTGTCGACGTTGACATTTTAACCAGTGGTAAATATTTATACATTTTGGACCCAACAACAATTATACAATTATTATTTTAAAACTATTCTTTCCTTCAGTAAAATTAATACTTTTATTCTTCACCACTCTAGGTTCATTGGGTTGATGTATTATTTCTTTAAATTCATCAGTTTGATAAAAAAGTTGAAGCTAACCTTTAAGGAGAATAAATCACAGAGCTCATTGCAGCGCAAAGACACTAAAGATTCCTATTGAGAGTTTCACCACCTTATTAACAACCCACTTCAGGAGGCTGGCTTTCCTACGATGTGAGGAGAAAAGATTCATTTCTATTGGTCCACATGGAGGGCTGAATAATTTTGCACACCCATTTTTTTCAGTTTTTGACTTGTTAAAAAAGGTTAAAATGTCCAATAAATTTAATTTCACTTCATGGTTGTGTCCAACTTTGTTGATTCTTCAAAAAGAAATATAATTTTATATCTTTATATCTTTATTTGCCAGGAATTTGGCAAAAGGTTGAATATTCAAGGGGCCCAAATAGGCACTGTAATGTCCAGATGTAAACAAATGCAAGAAAAATGGACATATTCACTGATGTAAATCAGTCTGGAAAGATTCAAACCCCATTTTTGTACTCAGACCCCAGCAGAGGAGCTGAGCATTGCTGATGATGATAATGCATAGATTAAGGAGATGGAAGATGAGGGAAGGGAACTGGATTAATTCAAAGGTAGATTGTTTGCTGCTCAGTTGAAAGGCAGATAGGGGTTTGGGCTGTCAGGTATGAGACAAGAGAGCCAAATGTGTTTATAGACACCAGAAGGTAATAATTGTTGATTAAAGGGGAAGTGGAGAGTGAGAGTCTGAGTGGAGGCAGAGAATCCAATGGCTGGAGTAAGGTCTATGAGAGACTGAGTGGAGCAAACAGCAGCAGATACCGGCACCGGCTGGAATTGGCAGGCACAGACAGAGGCAGGAATCCAGGGCAGGAAAGTTGCCGTTAACAGGATAAGCAGGTCGGGTCAAACAGGTAGGAGATCAGTTTGCAGAAGGCCAACGAACAGGTACACTCTGAATCACAGATGAACTGACACTGAATGACGGGAGACCTGTGCCTTAAATACACGCATACTCAGCAGCTGCTAACAAGCTACAGGTGGCAGTGAGTAGGAGTAATGAGCAGGTGAGCTTCCTGATAGGTCAGAGTGCAAGTAAGAGTGTGAGGGGGGGTGTGGCAGCAGGCAGAGTGAGGTGGGGTAGTACAACTTATCTCTATTTATTCACTGGATTGCTGATTGCAATTGATTGTATAATAGAATTCAACTTTATTGTCATTCACTGTCACAAGTACAGAGCTACGAAATGAATTCTCTGCATTTAACCCATCCCCTTGGTGAGCAGTGGGCTGCCATTGTGTTGCGCCTGGGGAGCAGTGTGGAGTTAAGGGTCTTGCTCAGGGACCCAGAATGGCAGTCTGTGGGAGTGGGGGATCAAACTCACAACCTCAGGATTCAAAGCCCTATGCTCTAACCACTAGGCCACCACTCCCCCAGTACGGGCACCGGCAGCCATATTGGTAAACAAAATATGCACTAGCGCATCGAACAACGATGATGCTCTCATTTTCAGGGGGACTTTTAAACATTGAACTTTTTTTTAACTTTTTCTTAAGACTTTTAAAATAAAGA